GTCTCTAATGCTCCTCTTCACTCGTTTGTTTTTCTCTGTGTCAGGCCAGGTCCTTTGTTGAGCACTTCCTCACGATTGACTGCAGCCTCTCATAAAACTAATCTTTATAGTCTTTATTGCCATCGTTGATGGGTGCATAACACTGGATTAAATTCATTGTAACCTCCCCCTTCTTTGTCTTGAATGGTGTTTTGATGATTCTGGATTCATGAGATTCCCATCCTATATGTGCTTTCTGTGCTTCTTTGGACAACATTAGTGTAGTTCCCTGTGTGTGCAAAGCATTTCGTTCTTCATGAGCAGAACACAACACCATCTCCTACCAATTTGATCTTTTCTGTTCAGCTTGGATCCAATCGGTTTCACTTATTCCGAGGACCGTCAAGTTGTATCTTCTTGTTTTCATGGCTACTTGATTGGTCCTCCCGGCTTCTACGCTGTCCGGACAAGCTATATACCTATACTTTTTATTGCTCTGGTTTTTAGTAGAGGCATTAGCCTCGTGATTTCCGAAGTGTCGGCAGTCGTCATGAGGTGTCATAATTCTCCTATGTGAAGATTCTTCAATTCCCAGGACAGAGTTTGGATGGTTTTGATGAGTTTTTCTGGTTAGCAGTTTTGGCATGGTTGTTTTCTACGGGGTGGGGTAACCGAACCCATGCTCAAACCTCCTCTTTTATCCAGGCTTGAGACCGACGGTACCACTAGAAAGGCTAGAGAAGGAATTATGCTAGCTACTCCTTCAAGTGATATATTAATTTTTAATACTCTTTTCTTCATTGATCATACTAGTATGCACGAATTGTTAACGTGTAAGATTATCTTGTTTGCAACAAAATATGACTGCTTGTTATAATTGTGAAAAGTTCTGTTTACATACTGCTTTACATTACTGAAAAAACTCGATTTATTTTGATGAAAGGATGAGGACAAGACTTCAGGTAACAGATTTTTACGCGCCAGAAATAGATCAGAAACAACTTACGAAATGAAATGCGTTATGTTTTACGTACTTATCTATTGAACATTCAGAAGTGAGTATATTGAACTAGACAGGACTTTACACAGACTATTCAATAACTTAATAGATGTATAAAATTTACAACTTCAGTGGATTAAAGTGTTTCAGCTGACAAGAATGACTAACCGTACTAGGGCACTGTGGAAATAAACAATCTAGGTTAAACGGCCATTCAAAATCAGGAAAGACTGAAAAGTTTCTCTGTCCTAGTATGAAAATATTTAGTGCTGCGTATCCATGAAACTATTGGGAATCTAGCGCAAGACGGTCAGGTCTTGAGGCGGGCACTTATTCTAACATTTTATTCCTAAAAAATTTTCAATAAACATATTACTGATTGTGAAAAGTTCTTAAAGGTTAAAAAAACAGTTTCAGGTAACCTATTAACTTACATTATTATTTGATGACAAAGAGTACTTATAATCATGATAAAATAATTTCTTTTACAGATTCACATTGTTTCATCATACTTCCTAATTCGATATAAATATGCTTCACTTTTATATCTTGGTACGACTTTTACGTCAATAGCAATAGTACTATGAGTCTTCCAAAATATCTGTGATAGTCCATACAAATAAGCGACACTGAACAACATGTCTATTTTGCGCATTATCTGTTGATTATCATATTTAAACGGACATCGAAACAGCACACACAGATCTTCCTATATATGTCAATCCACCAACGACGGAAAAAATCAGGGTGTCTATCAGACAAATCAAGAGCGGAAAAGCAGCAGGACCCGACAATATACCAGCTGAAGCACTGAACTCAGACATCGAAGTAACTACAAACATGCTTCACCTTCTATTCAAAAAGATTTGGGAGGAGGAACAAGTGCCGACGGACTAGAAAGAAGGACACCTCATCAAGATTCCAAAGAAAGGAGATCTGAGCAAATGTGAAAACTACAGAGGCATCACACTACTGTCAGTACCATGGAAAGTCTTTAACAGAGTGCTGCTAAACCAGATGAAAGACGCAGTAGACGCCCAACTTCGAGATCAACAAGCTGGATTCCGTAAGGATCGGTTGTGCACAGACCAAATTGTGACACTACGGATCATCGTCGAACAATCAGTTGAGTGGAACTCATCACTGAACATCAACTTCATTGATTATGAAAAGGCATTTGGCAGTGTAGATAGGAGGACATTATGGAAACTCCTTCGACACTACGGGGTTCTTGAGAAGATTGTCAACATTATCCGGAACTCATACGACGGACTACAGTGAAAAGTCGTGCATGGAGGACAGCTGACAGATGCATTCCAAGTAAGGACCGGAGTCAGAAAAGGCTGTCTACTCTCTCCTTTCCTCTTTCTTCTAGTGGTCGACTGGATTATGAAGACCTCGACATCTGAGGGATAACAGGGCATACAATGGACAACTTAGAACCAATTCGACGATTTGGACTTCACAGATGAACTAGCCCTCATATCGCATACACACGAACAAATGCAGATAAAGACAGCCAATGTAGCAGCAGTCTCTGCATCAGTAGGCCTCAACATACACAAGGGGAAAACCAAGGTCCTCAGATTCAAAACGGAGAACAGCAATCCAATCACTCTTGATGGCGAAACTCTGGAAGATGTAGAATCCTTCACATACCTGGGGAGCATCATCGATGAACAAGGAGGATCAGATGCAGACGTAAAGGCGAGGATCGGAAAAGCAAGATTCGCATTCCTACTATTGAAGAACATATGGAACTCAAAGCAACTTTCAACCAATATCAAAGTCAGAATCTTCAATACGAACGTCAAGGCAGTTCTACTGTACGGAGCTGAAACTTGGAGAACTACAGCAGCCATCATCAAGAATGTGCAAGTATTTATAAACGGTTGTCTACGCAAGATACTCAACATCCATTGGCCGAATGTCATCAGCAACAGCCTTTTGTGGGAGAGAACAAACCAGCTTCCAGCTGAATAGGAAATTAGGAAAAGACGATGGAAATGGATAGGACATACACTACGCAAATCGTCAAACTGCATCACGAGGCAAGCCCTAACTTGGAATCCTGAAGGAAGGTGGAAAAGAGGAAGGCCTAAGAACACATTACTTCGGAAAATAGAAACATATATGAAAAGGCTGAATAACAACTGGAGGTAGCCGGAAAGATTGTCCTGGACAGGGTTGGATGGAAAATGCTGGTGAGTGGCCTATGTTCCTTCACGAGGAGTAACAGGCGTAAGTAAGTAAGTATTCATATTTAAACACTTAACACCGAACATAATGCTCTATTTCCATTAGTGTATTTTCAAAAATCAATAAATTTTGATTTAAGTACTCAACCAATTTGTTTTCCTTCGCAAAATGAATTACTGCACTGAGGTTTTCAGTACTAATGTAGTTACATTAAAAGATAAGACGTTATTTAACTTTTAAAAAGAATGGATGGTGGTTAGTTCTCCTGAAAAGAGGTGTAATAATAAATCACTTCTTTCAGGGTATAACTGTGAAATAGAATTATTATCGACACTATTATTGTTATTATTAACATTATAAAATAATATAACATACGAAAAAAATAATGACTGAAGAATAGTGTTTTAAAAGAAAACGATAACATACCGATTAATATGTTATACAACTGGGTTTTTCTCCGGTTATAACCTTAAATCATTCGATTACATTATGCATTAAGTATTATTCCAACAAAGGATAACCAACCTATTAATAGTAATAATAATAATGATAATAATAGTGGAAAAATTAACTTTAATTCTAAACAGTTAAAAAGCCTATATATGTGTTTATTAACAAATGATGATAGTAATAATAATAAACAAGCTGGGATGAAATATAGGACAGTGTTTAGCTTGGCTAATCTATTCATTTTAATTTGCTTAAATTCGTGTGTTGTTTTCTTTTCATTCATTTCTTTTCTCTCGCTCTTTCTCTCACTCTGACCCATATGGGCTGGATTGTCATTGCTAAAAGTTTCCTGTATTAATTGAATACACAATAAGCACATACATAAATATAAACGCAAACATATATGATTGAGCAGTTTTTTATAGTGAATGAACAGAAAATTGTATGTCTTTTGTTTGGGTCATCGAGATCTGACTTTTGGAGGTAGTTCATTTGTGTTTATTTGATTAATAAGGTGATTAAATAAAGTTAACTTGTCAAATAACCTTTCTGTTCTCATTCTACGAGCACTATTATTATTATTATTATTATTATTATTATTATTATTATTATTATTATTATTATTATCATTACTGATATCATTGAACCAGCTCTCTTTACAAAATGAAAGCAAAAATAGAAACCACGTAAATCATTGTAAATATTTATCTAGTCTAAATATTATATTTTAGTCTTTAGCTACATATCAACCATTATAATTGTCTTATTTTTTATTGATTAATTTTAGTTTTGAACAGGAGTATACTTTCTGTTAGTGTCGATTTTCTATTATATTAACCTTTCAATGATTCATTAAATTGTATTAACCTGATTAATTCGACGGTAGTCTAATAATCACATCTAAATCTAATAAAGATAGGACCATATGATATATATCAGGTACAAGTGATCATCAGTTAGTGATAACGATTTCTAAGAAATTATAACTTCAATAATTTAAGTTGAATTCGTTATAAGCAGGAAAGTGGAAATAGTATTTTATTAACTATTGTTGAACACTCAGCTATAAACAGTGTTGGCATCAGAATCTTTACCAATGCAAATAATTTCAGTTAGATCTCAATAGTTCAGGACTATTCTGACACATAATATTCAAACTAGAAATAAAAGAATAGGTCATTTTTCGGTGGAGTTACCTAAGGATGCTGCCAAAGATGACTTCTATCACTATATGAATGATCTTCTCAAACAAGCTTGTTTGACTGACGTCTTGGTATTACCTGAGAACTTAGGCTTGTAGGTTGTATGTTCATGTAGAACGAAAATTAGCTTAAGTACCCAATGGGAGCTTATTGATCTCAGGTTGTGTGATTCAACGTTTAACACGGTAAATAATATTTTTATCAACTACCACTGGAACAGTTATGTACAACACTCTTACCGCAGAAGTCAAGACCAATCCTGTAGTAGTAGTAGTAGTAGTAGTAGTAGTAGTAGTAGTAGTAGTAGTAGTAGTAGTAGTAGTAGTAGTAGTAGTAGTAGTAGTAGTAGTAGTAGTAGTAGTAGTAGTAGTAGTAGTAGTAGTAGTAGTAGTAGTAGTAGTAGTAGTAGTAGTAGTAGTAGTAGTAGTAGTAGTAGTAGTAGTAGTAGTAGTAGTAGTAGTAGTAGTAGTAGTAGTAGTAGTAGTAGTAGTAGTAGTAGTAGTAGTAGTAGTAGTAGTAGTAGTAGTAGTAGTAGTAGTAGTAGTAGTAGTAGTAGTAGTAGTAGTAGTAGTAGTAGTAGTAGTAGTAGTAGTAGTAGTAGTAGTAGTAGTAGTAGTAGTAGTAGTAGTAGTAGTAGTAGTAGTAGTAGTAGTAGTAGTAGTAGTAGTAGTAGTAGTAGTAGTAGTAGTAGTAGTAGTAGTAGTAGTAGTAGTAGTAGTAGTAGTAGTAGTAGTAGTAGTAGTAGTAGTAGTAGTAGTAGTAGTAGTAGTAGTAGTAGTAGTAGTAGTAGTAGTAGTAGTAGTAGTAGTAGTAGTAGTAGTAGTAGTAGTAGTAGTAGTAGTAGTAGTAGTAGTAGTAGTAGTAGTAGTAGTAGTAGTAGTAGTAGTAGTAGTAGTAGTAGTAGTAGTAGTAGTAGTAGTAGTAGTAGTAGTAGTAGTAGTAGTAGTAGTAGTAGTAGTAGTAGTAGTAGTAGTAGTAGTAGTAGTAGTAGTAGTAGTAGTAGTAGTAGTAGTAGTAGTAGTAGTAGTAGTAGTAGTAGTAGTAGTAGTAGTAGTAGTAGTAGTAGTAGTAGTAGTAGTAGTAGTAGTAGTAGTAGTAGTAGTAGTAGTAGTAGTAGTAGTAGTAGTAGTAGTAGTAGTAGTAGTAGTAGTAGTAGTAGTAGTAGTAGTAGTAGTAGTAGTAGTAGTAGTAGTAGTAGTAGTAGTAGTAGTAGTAGTAGTAGTAGTAGTAGTAGTAGTAGTAGTAGTAGTAGTAGTAGTAGTAGTAGTAGTAGTAGTAGTAGTAGTAGTAGTAGTAGTAGTAGTAGTAGTAGTAGTAGTAGTAGTAGTAGTAGTAGTAGTAGTAGTAGTAGTAGTAGTAGTAGTAGTAGTAGTAGTAGTAGTAGTAGTAGTAGTAGTAGTAGTAGTAGTAGTAGGAGGAGTAGTAGTAGTAGTAGTAGTAGTAGTAGTAGTAGTAGTAGTAGTAGTAGTAGTAGTAGTAGTAGTAGTAGTAGTAGTAGTAGTAGTAGTAGTAGTAGTAGTAGTAGTAGTAGTAGTAGTAGTAGTAGTAGTAGTAGTAGTAGTAGTAGTAGTAGTAGTAGTAGTAGTAGTAGTAGTAGTAGTAGTAGTAGTAGTAGTAGTAGTAGTAGTAGTAGTAGTAGTAGTAGTAGTAGTAGTAGTAGTAGTAGTAGTAGTAGTAGTAGTAGTAGTAGTAGTAGTAGTAGTAGTAGTAGTAGTAGTAGTAGTAGTAGTAGTAGTAGTAGTAGTAGTAGTAGTAGTAGTAGTAGTAGTAGTAGTAGTAGTAGTAGTAGTAGTAGTAGTAGTAGTAGTAGTAGTAGTAGTAGTAGTAGTAGTAGTAGTAGTAGTAGTAGTAGTAGTAGTAGTAGTAGTAGTAGTAGTAGTAGTAGTAGTAGTAGTAGTAGTAGTAGTAGTAGTAGTAGTAGTAGTAGTAGTAGTAGTAGTAGTAGTAGTAGTAGTAGTAGTAGTAGTAGTAGTAGTAGTAGTAGTAGTAGTAGTAGTAGTAGTAGTAGTAGTAGTAGTAGTAGTAGTAGTAGTAGTAGTAGTAGTAGTAGTAGTAGTAGTAGTAGTAGTAGTAGTAGTAGTAGTAGTAGTAGTAGTAGTAGTAGTAGTAGTAGTAGTAGTAGTAGTAGTAGTAGTAGTAGTAGTAGTAGTAGTAGTAGTAGTAGTAGTAGTAGTAGTAGTAGTAGTAGTAGTAGTAGTAGTAGTAGTAGTAGTAGTAGTAGTAGTAGTAGTAGTAGTAGTAGTAGTAGTAGTAGTAGTAGTAGTAGTAGTAGTAGTAGTAGTAGTAGTAGTAGTAGTAGTAGTAGTAGTAGTAGTAGTAGTAGTAGTAGTAGTAGTAGTAGTAGTAGTAGTAGTAGTAGTAGTAGTAGTAGTAGTAGTAGTAGTAGTAGTAGTAGTAGTAGTAGTAGTAGTAGTAGTAGTAGTAGTAGTAGTAGTAGTAGTAGTAGTAGTAGTAGTAGTAGTAGTAGTAGTAGTAGTAGTAGTAGTAGTAGTAGTAGTTGTCATACACAAATCTATCTCGATCATGTTCTTATAAATTATTTTCTCCAACAGTCTTTTATTTTGTTTTGTTGACCACTTTAATTTTTTCTATCTACAATATTGTTATTTTGTTCTCAGTATTTTATTTCTTGTTCTCATATCATGCTAAACACGCTTTTATACTATCATTGAATAAGAAAAACAGAATTCAGCGTAGAAAATTTTCTTTTCCACGAAATCATTTACTTAAGCTGTACATTCGTATATATAGGTATATGGAAAATATATGTCTATAGAAGAATAGAAAAGATTGCACCATAAATTGATTTGAGACTAAATAACAAATGAGGTTACGTACTAATCAAGGGGTGCTATCGTTAATTAATAAATCTCAACAGATACGAACTAAACAATACAAAATCATTCCATCTTTGGATAAATAACTAGCAAGTAAATGGAAATCTTACTACAACAGTTTATACACACGAAATTGGACAGTTATATTAGAAATTACATTTGTCACCGGAAATTTGGAAAAAACTACAAATGAATGATGCAATATGAATGAATATCTTATTTAAAAATAAATCATAATATCAATAGTTTAGCTCTCCTTTATGAATCTAATTAGTATCCTTACATTATACAGTGTAAGTCATATCAATCGTTGAGACATTAATTAATTAGACTTTTTGTTTTGTGTTGTATGAATCATTTAGTCGAGAGAGAAAAAAAATGAGGTCAAGTAAAACAGACTCGTCTTGAAATCGAAATTTCTAGTGTGAACTTATAAACTTATGTTATTTTGTACAATCGTATCGTGTAATTAATACAGAACAATGATACAAACAATAAGATTCACTTGGTATTGTTTGGATTGTATCTTCCCATTGAGGTTTAAGACTGCAATTGATCAGTCTGTTATTGGTATATGTGCATACTGTGCGTATGCCTCGATATTGCCTTAATTCACAAGCTTTTATAAGCAATGATGGACTCAGTAGCTGAGTGGATAACTCGATGGCGTTTGAAGTGACTGGTACTGGGTTCGAGTCCCAGGGTGAACATCAACTCTGAGATGCAGGCACATCCAGCTGACGAGCCCCAAATAGGGCGAAACGTGCGTCCTGGATTCCACTACTAGCTACTATCCATCATTGCTTACAAAAAAACAATAAGATTCGTGTGAAAACTTTGAATAAACGTATCAAATAGTGTTGGGTTATTTATTAATCAGAAGAAAAATAAAAAGATTTTTGTTTGGTATTCCACGTCTAGTGACCTTGGTCAAATTTGTCTAGGGGTTATCTAACAGACAAATATCAAATTCATAATATTGGAGGTCACATGTAAATTTATTCACCGTAAAACTTTTTTTTAGTTTCAAAATAAGACAAAACATATTAGGTTTATATTTTATCAGTGTATCTATTATTGTCGTTAATCTACAAAACAAAATTCCTTACAAATAAAAATTGTTTATTGCATATGAATAGAGAAATCTAAATAGTTAAAAGGTAGTAAGTCTGTCTACCAGTTAGTCAGTTATTTTATATGGTATAGCGTTCGAGACGTTACTATTAAGCTAGCTTTCATGGAGTATCGGTTCGCCTTAGTGACTGATGCCATCTGGTAAGAAACCTAATTCACATAAGGTTTTCTCCAGACTACCTCGAACCGCCCAACATCTCAATGTAGCGCAAGAGATATTGAGTCACTTAGATTAATGATCTCATTGTAATTCGATCAGTATGGTTCAATCAACACTAAATGCCTAGACAGAAACGATAATGTTCACTAATTAGTGATTAATCAATTGTAAATTTACATCTATAAACAACTGGTATGTAAACTGTATGAAAATCAATAAGTATACTATGAACTTCTTTGTATTTCGCTAAAATGATATTTTCATAGATTGCTATTCATTCCACTTTTAATTTACTAAAAGCCGAGTCATTAATGAATATTACAATCTCTACCATTGCTAACCACAATTATCAAAATTTGTAACTTATAAATACATGATTAATGAATCTTTATACGAATTTAGTCCATCATTACAAGTAGTAACCTAGGAAAGCAATCTTATTCCATCTTTTCATTACCAAAATTTTATTTTTACTGAAAAACAAGGAGTATTTGAACAAGCAATTATTTTAAATGATTTCATAAGTAGGCTCTACAGTTATGAGTTCATAGTCATTGTGATATTTAACAAAGAGCCAAAATAAGGCATGCATTGATGAATTTGATAATGTTAAAAATAGTGAGTCCTTTTTGTGTTAGACAGCATCATAATATCAATTATATTCTTCCTATTGAACATTAATTATGTGATCCAGGTACATCTACTTGATGAATAACAAAAATGAAGAAATGAGCATCCTGGGTTCTATTCCCAGGCAACATGCTTCTATGTTCTTTTGCCACCGTTTCAACTACGTCTGTTATCATTCAGCTTTGACTGGTGTTGTCCTACAAATTATTATAAGTTTCAACGTGTTCTAAGAGTCCAGATTAATGATCCTTCAATTATTTTATTTACAAAAATGCTATTTACTTGATAAGTTTGTAAATAGTCCTCATTTTAAAGAAGTAAATAATAAATAGAAAAGTTTGGATACAATTCTTTTGTGTTCTTCATTATGGTCTAGACTCAATTCATTTGTGTTTGTAGGTCAATTATCAAAAGAAATGGTATGACCACATTCTTGGCCCACTAGTTCATAATAATAGTCTACTTTATAGTATATCGTTTTATCACAGAAAATCGGGTCAGACAGGTCGAATAATCAACAATACTCAGACATAACTAAAATACTCCTAATTTCTTATGAATGACACAAGCAAGTATTATATTTGTTATTGACTTGATTTAGTCCTTTTCAAAAATATAGTTTGACTTTTTAATTTTCCTCAGGTAAATTGGCGAACTCGACTTTTGAACTGAGATAGTCTTCAAGTATTAACATTTAAATCGGTTATTTCCTGATAAACTGAGGCGTACCAAATGACGTGGTATTTTCCACAGACAGTAAACCATCCTTAGAACAGAAGCTAGTTTTCTACCAAACTAGAAATTAATACTTACTTACTTACGCCTGTTACTCCCAGTGCAGCATAGGCCGCTGAAATGCATTCTCCAACACACTCAACCTGTCCTGGGCCTTCCTTTCTAGTCCTATCCAATTCTTGTTCATTCTTCTCATGTCTATCTCCATTTCTCGGCGTAATGGCCTCTAGGATTCCAAGTGATGGCTTGCCTTGTGATGCAGTTGAATGCTTTCCTCAATGTGTGTCCTATCCACTTCCACCACTTCTTCCTGATTTCTTCCTCCACTGGGATCTGGTTTGTTGTCTCCCATCGCAGGTTGTTGTTCATAGTGTCTGACCAACGGATCGGAAGTTTTTTGCGTAAAAAACTGTTCATAAACGCTTGTATCTTCTGGATGATAGCTTTCGTAGTTCTCCAGGTATCCTCCCCATACAGTAGGACTGTCTTGATATTTTTATTGGAAATTCTGAGCTTGGTGTTGGTCGACAGTTGTTTTGAGTTTCAGATGTTCTTCAATTGTAGATATGTTGCTCTTGCTTTTTCGATCCGCGCTTTCACATCTGCATCAGATCCACCGTGCTCATCAATGATGCTGCCCAAATATGTAAAGCTTTTTACATCTTCCAAATCTTCTCCGTCAAGTGTGATTCGATTGATGCATGCTGTGTTGTATCAGAGAATCCTGCTTTTCCCACTAGTCGTCTTTCCCTGTATTTGTTGTTGCGTGTGCGATAGAAGAACCAGATTGTTTGCGAAGTCTAGGTCGTCCAGCTGCATCCTAGCTGTCCACTCTATCCCATGCTTCCCCCCAGATGTTGACGTCTTCATGATCCAGTCGATCATCAAGGGAAAGAGAAAGGGTGAGAGTAAGCAACCTTGTCTGACACCGGTCTTTACCTCGAACGAGTCTGTCAACTGTCCTCCATGCACGATTTTACAGTTTAATCCATCATAGAAATTCCGTATGATATTGACTATCTTCTCAAATACGCTCTATCGTCGAAGGAGCTTCCATAGTGTTGTCCTGTCCACGCTTTAAAATGCTTCTTCGTAGTCAATGCAGTTTATGTAAAGTGATGAATTTCATTCAAATGATTGTTCCACAATGATCCGTAGGGGGACAATCAACTGAAATTAATGGTTATTGAAAAACGGTTTAACATCTAGCCAGTTTGCCATTGAAATCATAGATTAGTGTATTCCTACTCAGTAAATGAAGATTATTACGATCTTCCGAAAACCCGAAGATATTGGGTTCTATTAAGTATTGTGTACTATTTTTGCACACTTATGGAGTCTTAAATGGTTCTGCTGCATTACTATTATTTTAGGAAAAAAAATCAACCGTTAGTAGTAATATGCTAATTGGCTAAATATCCATCTAAGATCAGAGCCAATCACTCACTTTTAATATCAGATAGGAATCTTTAAAAATGCTACAGCTGTTTATCTCGTGTTAACGCTTAAAAGCGCCTGAAGTTTCACTTATTATTTATTTGAACACATAAATATTGGTACAAGAGGGCACCAAATATATATGCGCCACACAAAACAATGGGAATGGGAAGAGAAAAAGAAGGTAAGGTGCGTATAATAAAGAACAAAGAACAATAACGACCACAGCTTAGTGTATGGTAGTGTAATAATAATAATTAATTAATAATAATAATGGGGGAAACGGAAAGGTACAACCAGAAGAATTCTTTCAGTTTAGGAAGTTACGTTTATTTTTATGAAGAAGGCAAAAGAGGGTTACAGCAGGATCGCAACTGGCCCCTGTTCTGAGCCACTGTGTTGCACCATCTCTCAGACCCCAGCCAGGTAGTCGTGAAGGTCCAACAGAAGCCAGTCCTTTGCAGCTTTCTTTCATACCACGACACCATATCATACACTGACCACCTCTCCGCTTTTTCCAACCAGTCCCAGAGTCGGCAAATAGTGCATGACGAGGAATTCTCTGGGACGA